GACACGTTCATTGTCCTGTCGCGAGAGAGTCAACTTTGGCAGGAACGACAGGTCGATATCGTGCAGGCAAAAACGTAAGACGCGGCGGGAGAGATATGGGTATAGACAGGACCTTCTTGTCTGCGCGTCCCCAGGCGAGTATAGCTTGCGCAACTACGTAAAATATACGTATTATGTAAAAGCGAAGTAGAGAAACAGCGTGTAAGTACCGGTAACGGAAATTGGAAACTCCTAAGTGCACGAGATGCGGAGATTACGCAAGAGAGATAGACAGCTTGATTTCAGTGACAGCAACTGTGTAAATAATTTCCGTCGACGTATCGGTTGAGATTATATGTATATATGTGCTAGCGCAAGAGATGTACGGGACATTATTTTCATACATTAAATTGCTCCCCTATTAAACATACGCGTTTCATTCTATAGCACGCGTGCGCGCTTTGCTCTCGTAATACCGCTGTCAATATCAAAAGTATATATTGAAATATAATAGCAAAAATCCATACGAGGTACACGGAAAAATAAATATTTAATTTCAATGGTAAATGTTTTCCATAAGTTTTAAAACGATATAATCACTAAAGATAATAAGCTAAGTAATATATTATGTAAATATAATATATAATATATTTACAGGGTAGGGAAAAAAGGTCGATACTTTTGAATAACTCAGAAAATATAAGTTTTATATAGAAAGCCAGCGGTTCTGTAATTTTCAAGTTTCACTATCCAAAAAGAATTTAATAAAAAATTACGTTATTATAATATTTTGGAAAGCTCGAGTTAAGCTACAAGAATATGCAATAAAAAATAGGGGGTTCCATTAAAAAAATTCAAGATAACCTTGTCCTGACTTTAGCGATCCCACCCAAGGTTAAATAAATATTAATTAATAGATTTCTTTACACCCTACAACCTCTGTCTAAAACATTTTTCTATAAAACTTATATATATTTTCAGAGTTATTCAGAGATATTAACCTTTTTTCCCCGTTCTGTATGTATATATATATATATATATATATACATATATATATACATATATATATATATATATATATA